TACTTAATAATAATATCTCTTCCAGAGCACTTTTATGTATTTTGGAGGGTGACATTAGCAAAAATGGGGGGTGGAAATAGCAATTCTCTAAAAATATTTAAGATATAGAAATAACAGGATATTTTTTATGAAGATATGTGAATATTTGTGAATTAATATAGAATATTTTAAAGATTAGTAAGTAGTTGTAATATTTTGTGAAATTGAATTTTAGAAGTAAACTTATATTATGAGAAGACAACATCAGATTACAAAGGAAATTTTTCTTCTTTTTATATTTTATATTCTTTAATTATATTAAAGCAATTTTAATATTCTTAAATGATTAGAGATGTAGTGACTTAGTGAAGTGGATAAGTTGTCAACTCCTCAAGTAGTAGGTTGGGAGTTCAAAACCCATTGATGGCAAAAATTTGGAAAACTACTTATGTTACATCAGTGTATACGGGCATCTGTGCAATGCTAGAGTTATACAGAAAAATGCAAACTGGCATTAGTTGGTGCAAACACAAGATAAGTCCTTAAAACTGATATTACAGCAATGGCTATCTATTGATCAGTTGGGATCAGTACTGTAACACAGTCACATCAGATAACTGACAGGTCATAGGGCATTTGTGGCATGTAAATCCATGAACTGAGATAACCAAAGCCCACTTGGGAAGACTCGAGTAAAGAGGTAACATGGATCTTTGACAGTACTACTATAAAGGCTAGACCTAGAAAATAGATACCAATGTGAAAGAAATCAGATGGACAAAAACCTCAGGTAAGAGGTACCACTAATCAGGCTGTCAGAAGTCTCGAACTGGAGGAAAAAGACCTTGGAGGCAGATCCTGTGATACTAGAGACAGGTTACAGTTCTACCAGACTATTTGGATTAGGAGTCTGAGGTCAGAAACAGGAGTATACTAAAGGTACTAGAGATATGCTATGAAGTTAGTGCTAGGATCTGGGTGAACTTTGCAAGGACAAGTCCTGTTAGCAAAGATTAAATGTGAGTAGTTAGTTAGCAGAAGGGCCTCCTGAAGCCCTATAGTCAGGTGACATATTCTGAAATATGTAACAGCCTAACAGACTTACAAACAGCAAGGTTAAGGTTAGGTTAGACAGCATCTAATTAGGTGTACAGGAGCTTGTGCTGCTATCTGCTAGTATAGTATAGAGTTAACCTTATACAAGTTATGTAATTATAATTGAATTCATAATAAAAGCAGTAGCCACCATAACTAAAAGGCCTTAGTAAAAGCAAAAAAAAATAAAAAATATTCTTAAATAATCATAAATTATTGTGTATATTTCTTTTATTTTTAAAATTATTCTAATGTATTCAAATAAATTTACATAACTTTAAACTGTTTTTAATATAATCAAAATTTATTTTTATTTATTTTAATTTGCATACTTTAATTATTTCGATATATTTTTAATATATTTGTTATTATTTAATATTTTATTTTCTATTTTGCATTTATTAAATTAATTCTAATATATTCAAATTATTTTGAATTTCTTTAAATATTTTTAATATACTTAAAATTTTTATTTTTTAAATATTTTCAATCGTTTTGCTTTTATTTAAATATTAACATAAAATTTTAATGATATTACTATTTTTAGTATTTCTATATACTTTTAAAATTAATTTAATCTATTTGTAACCAATTATCTATATTTAGAAAATATTTTTGATTATATACAAACTTGCATTATTTATTGTTTTTTAAATTTGGCTTTAATTTTTATTGTATGTTTTTATGCAATCAATCATTTAATAATTAATAATAAAGAAATTATAATATGATGAATAATTATGACTAATTTATTTTTTAACAATAGGTAACAAACAATGCAGAAGATTTCGAACATAGAGTTTAGCAATATTTCTAAACTTTAAATTAATTTACAATATTTTGCAATTTTTCGAATCAGTTTTTGCAGTTTGTTATGTTAAGTTATTCGAAATTTTTCAAAAGTTTGTAAATATATTAAAATTTATCAAGATATTCTAGAATATTTCATCATATTTGAATACATTTTTACAAGTTAGATAAACTTTAATATGTGCTTTTGCGTAATATAATATTTTGATTTTATTTAAAAGTTTCGCAAGTATGTGAACTTCTTGAAAGTTTGTCAATTTTTGATTTATTTCCCTTATTCTTTTTTCATTTTTTTTCATATTCACAATTTTTAAAAGTTTTTGCAATATTTTGAATCTTTTTAATACTTCATAATATTATCACATATGTATATAATGATGATGAAGATAATTTAAAATAAATATATCATGTTATTAAATACTTAGAGATTTATTCTATTAATTAATTTATATTAATAAACTTTCTGTTATTAGTCAAAATTTTATTTAAAATTAATTTTACTATATTATGATTAAATATAATTCTATTATTATTTTTTATTTTAATAAAGTTTGAAATATTTAAATTATTACTAAATATTTCGAAATGTTTTGCATTCTTCTAATAATTTTTAAATTTATTTCACCTTATTTGCCCTTTACATATTTAGATAATTTTTTCACTATATTTCGAAATATTTTCATTGTGCAATAATTTTGAAAAATTATTTCACAATATTTTGAAAAAATTTACATAGTGTAATAATTTCAAAATTTATTTTGCAATATTTCAAAATATTTTGCATTTCACAAAAATTTCAAAATATTTTTCATATTATTTCAAAATTTTTATGCTATGCAAATTCTTTTGAAATATTTCACATCTATAATTTTGCTGATGTTATTTATTTTATTCTGTTGTTACCTGAATTAAATAATAATGCCTTATATTTTCAGAAACTTTACACTTACAATGTAATGCTAAATATGACTCTATAGCTGCAGATCTTCTATGTTATCAATTTTTTTTAATACAATATTTATATCTTGTACCATAATGATCTTTATCATCAGATTCTCCAGTAATAAAATCATCTTAAACAGCTGCTCTTGATTATTACCCTTATTTACCAAGATCTTTTAAAAACCAGGTTCTTTTGCTTTTCATTTGTGTATAACCTCACTAGATTGAAAAGTTTCAGAAATATTTTCAAGAAAATCTTCGATAATAACAATTTTTTTTTTATTAATTGAACAAAAATATCAAAAATAGAATTTATTAATTGTGATTTATTACAAAAAATATTAAAAATGAACTTTATTAATTGCGATTTATTATAGAAACATCAAATATTGATGAATTTTATACATTTGAAACAATTAAAACTTTGTATTTCTTTAAAAAAATAATTTGACTTTCATCCGCTACTCAAAAACAGAAAACAACTACAAGACTAAGAACTTTTAGTAAAATAATATATCAGATACGAAATTTTAAAGCTAAGTAGCTTTAGTAGGATAATATACTGGTACGTATAAAGGTTTCATGATTTTTGATTGGTCAATGAGGTTTGGGATATGCAATAATGAAAGGACACCCGGTTTGGGTTTTGTTGGTTTACATCCCTAGTGTCAAAATATACATCGCAAAAATGAACACTCACCATTAACATTACGAACCCAGCGTTAAATTCTGCCTACTCACTGTTGAAATAGTAAGGCTACTTCAGTGTTGAAAATATGAACCTTCTACAATTGACATTACGAACCTATTCGATGTAGGATCACGAAATGTATCACATCGAAATCTCGAGCCCACTCGATATTGAAATCATTAACTTACCCCGACTAAAAATCTTGAATCAATTCACTCTTAAATCATGTCAAAATCCCATAATTAGGATCATAGATCAACTTACTGTTAAAATAATAAACCATTACTATTAAATATCAAACCTACCTACTATTAAAATTACGAACCCAACTAGTGAAATTACGAACCCACTCATTACTGAAATCATGAATTTAGTTATGATTAAATCACGGACCCACCCACTGTCAAAATTACGAACCCACTTACTATTGAGGCCACAAAATCACAAAATACCCACCTTCTAAATCAGAACATATTCACAAAAAAAAAAAGCGTTGTCCCTGTAGTATTTGAAGTTGTACTTGACTGAAATTAGTTTGAAATTAATATATTAGCCAGTAATTCCAAGCTCAGTCCAAGCCCAGCCCAACCAATTTCGTGCTCTAATTATCAGTATATGCATTATGACAATCATCCGCCATATCGCTCGCTCTATATCAAAAAATTTGTATGATTATTTGTAATCCACTGGTCAGAACTGAATATAAGAATTATTAGATTCCACTTTATCCATCCTGCCATAATACCTCCCTACACCTTATATATTTGACAAATATATGATAAATTCACCTGTTTTTGTATTTCATACCCATATAATTTAATTGCCTAATGTTTGGTTAAAAATAATATCACTATTCATGTAAAATATAATCTTAAAACGCACCAATTTGTTCATAAAAATTGTGTAGATTTTTTTGATTTTTTAATTTTAAGAATTTAATATGTATATTGTGAGGAAAATTGTAATTTTTTTGCTTTTGCTTTTTAATAGAATGAATGAAATAATTTTTTTTTTCTTGGGTAATTACTAATAATTCATAGAATAAATGATTTCGTGATAATAAAAAACTATAGGATTCCTATTCAATATTATCAATGTCAAAATTTTCGATACTAATAAGGAAAACAAATAATATATATATATACATATATATATGAAGTAATTCCTCTAACATATAAATATATAAATAGATTAAAACAACAAATCGTGATGATAAATTCGGATAAATTTGTTATTTTAACGAGCTAATCATAAGTATGTGGAATAATCGATTGTTAATAATATTAAGGAAAATATCTACACGAAATTTTTGAAAAATAAATATTTATAAGAAAAGGTCGTCAAGACCAGTTTGTAGAAAGTGTCCGAGAAATTGTTCTAAGCTTAGAATACAGAAAGTTTGGAGGGAAAAAACATTTAAACTGAGTCATTGTAAATAAGCCTATCATATATATCCTCCATTTTCAACCACATTATTATTATTTGTACTATTAGCCTGACGACCTTCTTGACCGCCATCATTACTAGTTTCATCTTGACCTTCATTACGACTTTCTACTCTCCTTTCCACACTATCATTATGAGTTTGTTCATCTGGTTGAGGAGCCAATCTTTGCTTATGAATAATATCAGTATTATCATCTCTTCTTAATACAGACTTTTCTTCTCTTAAAGTATAGTTTTTGTCAGAAACATGATCACCATAACCACTATGACTATCAAAGACCTCATCGGGCTCATAATTCCCACCGGTTCGTCTTCCATATTTTCGATCCATTTCAGAAATGGGCACCTGACGTCTGTCAATTTGAGATTGACCATTTTCTGATTGATATCGACGAGTGTAATCGTACGTACGTGATTGTCGCGAAGTAGAAACTGGACTATTGACGAACTCATCACGTTGTACATATGACCGTCCAGATGAAGAACGATATAATGATGAATTAGAAGAACTACGCATATGACCAGTAGTATAAGATGAATCTTCAGTACGTATAATGGACGCAGGACGAGATTGAGGTCTTTGATACAATGGGGTATTATTAAGAGAAGGTACATTATTATTAAGTGATTGGTATCTTTGTAAACGAGGAGTTTCTCGGTCAAAATAAGTTCGTCCATTAGATTGTTCATAATGTGAAGGTTGAACTGGAGGAGGAGAAGGTGATGATGAAGGTGGTGGGAATGGACCAGAATAAGAACCGCCGTATGTACTACCAGAATAACGCCGGTTGCGTCTTTCTCGATAATCAGCAGCACGTGTAGAAGGAACCTGAGTAAATTGAGGATCATAATTTTCTGGTGGCAAACCCGGTGAAGGAGGTCTAGACATACGATTATATATAGATGGACGTTGAGTAGTATAATAAGTGGGTGGTGATGATTGATCTGTTGGAGGAGTTGGAGAAATTCTCCGTATTTCATGATGGTTCACTTCTGAAGTAGGAGCAGATGATATTCTTTGATTGGGAGAAATTGGACGTGTTGAAGTAGTAGGCATTTGTAAAAGGGAATTATATGAATCTTTCTTTGCAGGAGCCTTTGTTTGAGCAAGGGGAGCCAAGGCTAATAAACATTCAGTTAAACTTCGAATCTGTTCGTCACTAGTTTTTAATAAAATCTTCATGTATTTTTCTGAAGGTTGACCTCCAGTTTCCATTTGAGAAATAACATTACGTAGATTTGAGTTAAGATAAAGAGCAGTCGATACAACCATTGCCATCGAGTGAGATGGAGGAGGTGAAGTATCATTAGTGGACTGATCCGAATTTGTGAATGCTTTTTCAAAAAATTCAAAAGCACTTTCTAAATGTTTATTATGTTGAACTGTGGTCAAGGTACGCCGAGAGGTACCTGTATTCGTAGAACTTGCACCACCTTGCGAACTAACAGGTGATGTTGCTGATGGTGATATAACTTGATCCGAAGAATTTTTCTTTTTCCGGGATCGTTTTTCTGAAGTTAAGTCTTTATTCATATTAAATTTAATATAAATTGCAATAATTATTATAAATAGTTACAATAGCTACAACACTTTAAAGTAAATAAAAAGTCAGGTAACTCACCATCATCAACATTACCACGTACGGATTCCAATTTTTGAATACGTGAACGCAATGCATTAAGTTCATCAATAAAAGATTCATTTGATATAATACTGCTGTTATCATCATGAATATCATTTACAGAATAAGAATCATCCGCTTGTCGATTATTTGTTCTTGAGACATTATTTTTCTCATTATAATCGTCAGTATATTTTTGTGAACGTTTTTTCCTAGCCAGTAGTTTATTTCGTGTACGAACGCCATTATCAGATGTTCTTACATTAGCGGCTTCTTGCTCAGCAATGTCCGATAAAGAACCTCTTTCTTCTTCAATAACTTCATCCATTGAAGAAAAAGTCATACTAACAGGTCTACCACGTTTCTCTATTATACTACTACCCTTATAAAGTTCAGCAGAACTATGACGTGGTACACGTAAAGGATTTATACCTCCACCCAATGAAGAGGCAAGAGGCATATGCGCATTCGAAATATCAAATTCCGAATCGGAAGATTCCGGAGTGATCAGACGAGTGGATTTAGAGGATTTAGTGTTAGTGTTAGTGTTTATGGTTAGCGTAAGATGAGATTTAGAATTTCTACGTCGATTAGATAAATCGTCATTAATTTTAAATTCTTTATCATCCACACTACCAGAGATTTCATTAGCATTTTCAGAATCAGAATTATGTTCAGCTGAAAGATATTTCCAATCCAACTCTCCTACATTATTAGCATTAGGGGATAAATTGTCCATTCTAATAGAATCTTTAGAGTTACGATTTGCGATTGAAATTTTTGACGAACGTCCCATAAACGATAAGGAGTCATCAATTGATCCAGTCGTTTCATTTATTTCGTTATCTTTTTCAACCTCCATCACATCAACAGCATTTTTATTAGTTACAGATGATTCAGGTCGAATAGATGTGATCAATTGTTGTTGTTGTTGAAAACTGTTGCTACGTCTCTGCCTCGAAGTTGAATTTAAATTATTAACAAGGTTATCAATATCTTGTATAGTACCAGTAGTACTATGTGGAATGTCCAATTGACTATTAATAACTGATAAAGCTTGAGAATGAGATTGGTGAAGCTGGCTGATTTGGTCAAGAATCTGTATTTTAAAAAAGAAATTTACATTTTATTAGCGAAAGAAATTCAATATAAGAAAGAGTTTGTTTAAATTGAGAGCCGAAACGTAATAAGAAACCACTGAATTACCACTGTTTTAAAATGAAGCCAATAATATTTAAAATTAGTACATACCTCTTTATTTTTACTTGACAACGACGCGATCCTATTCCTTGTATTATGAAACAAACGAGAATCGTGTTCGTTTGAAGTTACTGGAGCAGGAGTTGCGGTCATTATATATTTAAATATATTAAGCGGTTCAATGGACCCGAATTTCGTAAAAAAATAAAATAAAATAAAATCGTATACGTTTAAAAGGTAGGCTACCGCATTAATATTGATTTGAATTCGGAAATAAGCCTCAGGCCGTTAAGACCACAGCCAAAATTTAATATTCAAGTATTCTCGAGGACAAAGAAAAAAAAAAAAAAAAACTACGGACTGCTATTTATAGTCACAAAGAAGTTAGGTATCGGTATTTAGAGATGGCTTAGTAGTCTGAAACGAAAAAAGAAGTCAGTCGTGACACACAAAAGATTGCAGGAGAGAACAAGAAAAAAATTTGTGTCTTTTTTCTTTATTGTTCAAGGAAAGGAAAAGATTTTTCTTATGAAAACGTGGGTTTTTATATGTGTTTATAGTCTGAACACCCGAAGAAAGAAAAGAATGAGTAGGTTTAGTTAAAAATAATATTTTTTTTGCAGTGAAATCAAAAGAATGCTTATTTTGGGAGCAAAGTCAAGGGACACCAATACTTGACGTTTACCAAAGTACATACGTATGTACGTATTTAGGTATTAACGATCCAACTATATGTATAAATACGCATAAAGATGTTTTCATTGTAACATTAAACGAGTACAAAAGCCAATTGTTAATAATTTAATTGATTCAATTATTACATATTTGCAAAGGCCCATTGTGAGAACTTGAAACACACTATAACGATATCCTGCATATCACGTGATTATAATAGAATCATAATTCAACGGCCGATAACACAAGCCACACTAATAAAAATCTAGGAACAATTTACATCGAAATAATTGATATATGTGAGAACAATTACGCGGTAAGAATATATGCACGTGTCAATCAGTAACTTTCACTAACACAAAGAACTTTTTTAAATTTCAACTTACCAATTTTCTAAAAACTAACGGAACCTTTCGCCTTCGCTTATCTCCGTTTCTGCAATCGTATCCGAAATGTTACCCCATCTATTTCATCCAATATGCACAAACGCAAAGTAAAGTTTAACAGTTTATGGTTCTGCTTTCCTGCATTTGTCTACTTTTAGTGCAGATATGTACGAAGCTTTTTTTTAAAGTATATACTGACATTGTGTGTTTAATATCACGTGAACATGACAAATACAAGATTGGCCAATCAGAATGCACTATTTGGTGTAACACTATGCAACGTGATCATGGTTTTCTGTTTGTTGATTGTCTATGTTTCCGAAACTTACCGACAGTTCAGGTTGGCCAAATTTGTGTTGTCCGGCCCAAATTATACACTTAATTTTGCCCGAAGTGGTATTGTTACACTGCATTAAAAATTGGTTTTCCCTATGATTTGGCCTAAAAATATCGATTTACATATAATCAACATAAATCGATATTTTTCACTGTCCCTGATCCCCATTAAACGCAGGTAGACTATCATTATTCTCGTGTCACATGAAGAACACCAAATTGCTAAAAAGAACATGCTGATTCGTCTTCATTTTTATGATAGTTGCATTGTTTTTATCAATGGATCGTAACACACATTCTTGTATTTATCATCAGAGATCCAAATTTAAACGTAAAGGCGACATATGTATGTACGTATGTTATATTCATACATACAGTATATTATAATACAGTAATATATGGGGTCTTCGCCTTGAAACTATGTAGATTTTATGAATAATCCTATAATTAGGTTTAAAAATTGCTCCATAGTTCCGGGCAGTTATGTTGGTCGTGGGCCGGAATTATTTTAATGCCGACCAAATTAAACGGTTAAACGATTAAGAAAAATTTTAAGCGGTTTCAATCCTTACCTGTAATCCAATTCAAATAAACTTTTTTATTTAGTGAGTTCTACAAATTAAAAAAAGTTTATTTGAATTGGATTACTGGATGGCTAGAAATTTTAATTTTTATTCATAAAATCTACATAGTCCTGTAAGGTCATTTTCAAGGCAAAGACCCCATATGTTGATAATCGATCGTGCTTATTTATTATGAATATAATTAAATATGTATTACCGGAATTCCGATATAAATTAGCTAATTTCAAATAAAATAATTATACGTATACGTAATATAAATATATGTTAAAAAATGAATTGTTAATTTTTACCTTATATGTAGAAGAAAATAATTAACATTTCATACGTAATGTTTATTTTATATATGTTTGACAGATTACGTATACGGTACTCAATGAATATTTAAAATTTTGCAAAAAAAAAAATCGTACTATTGTAGTTTTATACAAGTTTAAATATTCATTGAGAGATCACGATTTTAAAAAATCAAATAATTTTAATGGGACTTACATACTGCGAAAATGATTTACACAAATTGTCTATCAGTACATAGTTCAATGTTACAAAAAATAAACATTACATATTCTAGAGCAAATTTAGATTTTTAAAATTTCCGTTAATATAATTTTACTGTAGGTAGAATAAAAGGTGTAGTTTCAGAATTTGTTATATCCTTTGATAATTCGTTTTCATGGTTGTCAATTCATTTAAAGTCAAATGCTATACTATTAATCTATACAAGTAATTTTTGATATAAAAAACTTTTTTAGTTGAAATCTTTTTTATATCAAAGTTTTTTTATATTTAAAGTTTTTTATTATAAAATTTTCATTGAAACTAAAGTTTTTTGATTAACAAATAAAACATTAGATTCCTTTTTAACTTATTTGTTTATATAATTATTACAAATTAAAATCAAATAAAACAAGTTATTAGTTGTTTAATATTTCTATAATATAAAATAATAATTTAACAAAATATTGTTACAAAGTCAAATATTATACAAAATATTAATTATTCAATATTTGTATAATACATAATAATAATTTAACATAGAGAATTTTTATTTGTATACAGAGTATATGTACATAGCAATATAAAAATTAATTAATATCTTAAAATTTTAGTTATAAAATCATTTTTGGTTTTTAATAAAAAAAATTTTTTATACAATTTTAATATAAACTATATTTTGCCTAATTACAAAAAAAATTTATTTTAATTATATGCAAGAATTTAATTTTTTATTTATAAAATTGTTTTAATATTATATTATATAAAGTTGTTTTTTTTTTTAATATTAAGGTAATTTTTTCCTTTTATTAACAAACTTTTTTGATAATATAATTTTATAAACTATTACAAGAAAAATGTATAATTGGTTACATATATAATTTTTCTATATTATCTATTTAAAGAGTCTGCCTGAAGCTTTCTTACTAATTGCTATATCTAATATTCTTGTTTAGATGTTCTATTTTAAACCTTCTAATCCTGTATCTGTATTAATATTACTAAATTAAGTTTAGCTTATTGTCTCAACTTTAGAACCATTTTATCTTTAAGATAAACCTCTTAGAGTCTTCTACATTTATTTTTATAATTAACTTAGTATCACTATAACAAAACTAATATTTGTGATCAAATTATATTATTTAACTATTATGTTTTATAAAATTTACTTAAACTCTAGTTTCTATTTTATAGTATATTTCTGATACTTTAATATACCTCTGTTTTTTACTAAACTTTTAATTCAGATAGCCTATATAAAATTATAATTAGTTTATCAATATATCAAGTCAGCTCAATATTTTTTTTCTCTAGTTTATTTTGATAATCTAATTAGTAGTATCTTTGAAACTTTCAACTTAGAAATTCTTGTTTATTCAGATATTATAACTTTGGTATTTATTTTCTAAGTTTAGCCTTTACAATAGTGCTATTGAAGATCTGTATTATCTTTTTATTCAAATTTTCTTAAATTAACTTTTTATATTCTAATTTTAATAAATTTATATAGTTACAAAAACTTATTTACAGTTTACACTATCTGATGTTAGTTTGTATTTTTTGTATAACACTATACTTATACAGATAATTTATAACTTGCTAATCATACTGATATGACTACTATTACAGATATCCTAATCTAATTATTAGAAACAGTTGTTATAATATAAATATTATATAATGTTACAGGATTGTAACCTTTTTAATATAATACAACCAAATAATAAGATTATTTGATATAGTAATTGACTATTGCAAATATATATAAAGTGAAGATATAGTAGTTCACTTTACTATATAGTAGCAGGCAAACAGTTCAAAATAGTAACAATATATAAATTAACTTTTATTAAATAAATATATAGTAATAACCTTGTCTGTAGAAATTATCTAAGAGAATGAATATCACTTTTACAAGTTAAGAATAAAAGTAGAAAAATATAAGTTGAAGTATAGAAACTTAAAATTAGTAAAGAAGAGAGAAAAGGATCTTTTATATATTTTTTTATCTAGTAAGAATAGTGAGAATTCAAACAATATTACTTGATACTATATTTAGAGTAATAAGAGCTCGAACAATATTAAATATTATTGTACTTGAGATAGTAAAGGTTTGAATAACATTAAATATTACTATATTTAAAGTAGTAAGAAATATGCAGAAACAACTAAGAATATTGTTTATATTATTTATTATTTGTGCTTAAAACACTTGAACTTGTATTTAAACACTTGGATCTATACAAAAGTGTTTGAGATTTGTGCAGAAATACTTAGGATTCATGCTAGAACACTTGGGGTTTATGTTAATAATACTTAAAATTTTTATATTGCAGCATTTAGTATAGTAATTTGATGCTAGAATATATAAAACTTATACAGAGGTATTTGGAGTTTGTAAAACAATAGTAACATAACAGATGTTATACAGTGTCATATAGCTGTACTATATTTTTAATAGCTAATTTTATCTATTTATTATGTAATATAACTATCAGTTAACTAATAACTAATACTAATAATAAATTATTTTTATTTTTTTTTAAATATTAAGATGAGTACTTGCGACTTAGAATTTTATTGATAGTACATTCAGCTAATGGTTGTATTACAACCACAAAGGGCAACTATAAAAAAAGTGTACAACTAGCCACTCGTACAACTTTAGTTATTGTCTAAT